TCACAATAAATTCATTGAAATCCCATTTCTTGTTTCCTGCTTCTCTAAGAGTATCTTTAACAATTTTGTCAATTGGGTGCGTATTATTTATATTCATAGCCTCTCTCATTATTTTCTCTCTGACGAATTTGAAAAGCTAGGATTTATCTTGCTTTACGATATCTATTTCTTTCATGAAAAGATTTTTCGGTTCAAAGTTTATTACATCTTCATGTCCAACCCCAAAGTACTTCTTTTTACCAGTAAAGCAGATGGGAAATAATACCTCTTCATATGCCATCTTTAGATAAGACATCTCACTTTTTATTCTAAGATAAGCGTTTACTTGATCACGCAACTTTTTCATCATATCCATAGTAATTTTGACCATTTCAGTCCAGTACGCTTCTTTGGAAAGTTTTTTTCTGGAGAAGGCTTTATCGCATTTCTTGTAATACCTATCTGGGTAGGTGAGATACAAAGAATCAGTATCCCATATTTTATTCTAAACCCTTTCTTTGATATGAATTCGGCAACGAGATTAAGGTTGTATTTACCCGCTGTAGTAGTTTCACAGGCTAATTCACGAAGAAAGATTGGAGATTTTGAGTTACCTACCTCCTCATAAAAAGTGTTCATATATACCTTTAAAGCTTTTTGCTTTGAATCCCAATAATCGTAATCGAAACATACGGATGAATATTCTGAATTTAAGCTTTCTGAAACCCTTTTGCCTCTTTTTTTAGCTGAACTTATCATCTTCTCAAGATATTGCTTTTTCTTTCCTAGTGGAGCCAGACGTGCTTTAAGCTCCAGCCTCTTTTTAGATAAATCCTCTAATACAACAGGATATAATCCTTTTCTCTCAGATTAATTTTCATGACGTATGCACCAAGCTTGAACGTCACACTTATTGAATTTAAACTCAATCGTATGAAGCTCGTTCTCATTTTTGCAGACATTATTAGCCTTTTCTCAATCCAATATGATTTTTCTGGGGAGATTTTGTAGGCCATGATAATGCTAGAATATAAAGATGCAAAATCTAGATCTGTTACAGGTCTTTCTGTCATGATACCTTTTTTAGGTGAAAATACATATGCATCAGGATATTTCCCTTTTTCTATGTCTTCAGGAAGTCTTGTACTAATTACCATATCTCGTTTGATAGCACATGCGCTGAGAAGGTTCCGTACCTTCATTCCATTTGCACGATAATGTGTGTCGAAAAGAAAAATATAAGCTATGGAGGCAACTTCTCTATAATCATTTATTATACTTTGGTTTACCAAAAGCTCTTGACAGTACAATATGTCTATAATACAGTATTGTGCCACTTCACGCATATATCTCGCAGTTGACGAAGATTGGGCTTTTCTTCGCCTCTGAATAGATTTTCCACATTTTATCGTATAACATATCAGCCTTACTGTCAAGACCGAATTTTTGTAGGAAGAATTTAAGTGAGTCTTCCTTTTCGACTTCAGAATGAAGAAAACGTTTTTTGAGGCATACTCAGACATCAATCAGTACGCAACTTGGCAGTTTAAGGAAGCTAGAAATAAAATAATCTTCTGCACTAATTTTGATCCTAATTGGACCGCCCATATATTCTTTCTCCTCCAGATCCTCTTCACCTTCCTCGGGAGTCTTAACAGGATGCTTTTTCACGAAATCATTTTCAGATTTTGCTCCTATCTTTCCACGGTATTTCCACTTTAGAATTTCTTCCTTTGTTTCAAACTTTCCTGTTATTCGCTCCCACATCCATTCGAGTATGTTAAGATGATATGCTCTTTCCATAATAAAACACCAATCATAGTCGAAATCGTTAAACCCAACATAGATATCAGTGGCAAATGCTCATCAGCAGAGAGCGAAAGCTTTTAGTAGATTTACTTGATTTCCGCAAATGATTGTGATCCAGTGTGGGTCTGATTCTATTTCAACATCGACAAGACATATTTGCTTTAGTGGTTTTGGATCATCTTTCCAATGCAATGTCATAGATATCATAAAAACATTATTATTTAGATTAAGGACTTCAGCAAATTCACCCAATTCTTGTGATTGCGTCTCTATATCCCAAGTGAGAACAAGAGTATGATCTCATAAGAGAGCTGAAATGGGAAATCGGTCGCTTATTATTGTAAGATCTTCCAGTAGACAGAAATCTTTTATAGATAAGTAGAATTCATGCGGATAAAGCGGGCTGATCCCTTTGCCTTGCTTGTAAATGTATTTGTTTATTGTAAACCATTCAGAGAGTTGAATATCATTCTCTCAGGCTACCTTATGGTGAAATGAATATAAATCATCTGAAGCAGTTTCGAAATTATTTTCTTATATAGCTTAGATGACTTTCTTTCTTTCTCTCGTACCATTTGTATAAATTCGTAAATATGACTTTTTTTTGGAATGATAACCCTGAAAAGGGAATGCTTTAATGTGTTCTATTTTATATGATTTCGCAATGTCAGAGAGAATTTCGCTCACCTTTTCTTCGCATTTATCTGGAGTCTCTCCGTCTGGTACGAGAATGTCAAAGAAAACCTGAATGTCCATAAGAGTTACCAGTGCCTTTTGGCCGTTAATTAGGCGACCATAAAGACGCAATACATAGCGGTACGTTCCATTTATCCTTTCTGTTGATCCTTCATTCTCAATGGCCATGAATGGAATACTTTGTCGTTTAGATAAAGCATTCTCGAGTATTAGAGTTAATCCCCATCATTTCCAGCAACTATATCATCTAGCATTGAAAAGCCCAATAAGTATTTTTCAGCAGAATAACGAATTACTTAGGCTTCCATTTTATCTTTTTCAGCCTCTAGGTGAAAAAGCGGGGCGGAGGCATTGAGAAACTCTGATTGGGTCATTTTTTTCTCAAGTAATTTAAAACAATTTATAGTTATACCAAAACTCAAGGTATTTTATTCGTAAGAAAAAAGTTTAAAATGAAATTAATTCCCTGACATTATTAATTGATACATATAAATGGGAGGCAGAAAAAAAGGTGACATCCTGGTATTATATAATTATCTATATATTTTTAGGACTGGAGAAGTGTGCAATCAGAGATGCTATCATTCAAAGGGATATAAAGTCCATCAAAATTCTAGGCAGGTTTTTTGCAAAGAATGCGGTGAGCCGATAAGATCCAAATATGATTATTGTGATACGTATGCAAAAAAACATAGATCAAAAGAACATTACCATCAGAAAAAGCTGGCTGACTTAGCTTTGATACAGGGACTGGTAGGCAATTAAGTATATATAGAAGCGATGTAAAATAATACAACTTTATCACCGGTTGTCCTAAAAAATCCGTCCCAGTTTCCGTTCCAGTTGTCAAAGTTTTCTAGCTCGGATGAAATATAGCTAGATGGTAATATTAAAATGAATGAAGGGGAAAAGAAATAGTCTGTCCCAGTTGTCCTAGTCGTCCTAGTAAATTTTGGACTTTTTTACTTTTTTTTATTTTTTTTTATCTATAGGTATACATATATATCATATACATATATCATATATATATTATACACATATATTATATATATACTATAGGAAAATTACGATTTTTTTTTTAGAACTTTATTTTTTACTAGGACAACTAGGACACTAGGACATAATATAAAAGAATAAGTTAAATCAAAGAAAGAAGCTCTTCTCTCATAACAAAATCTGTCCCAGTTCCCGTCCCAGTTTATTAAGATGCTTCATTTACTAGGACAGATTTTCTCGAATTTATAACAGAATATTTTTGCAAGTAATTAACCAATTCATCTCAAATTCAGCATATTATCATTGAAAAAAGTTGGATAAGATGTTTCAGAATTGTTAGACGCCAAAGGTAATGAGATAGACTCTCGATAGGATAAAAATACCTGATGCAATAGAGTGTTGGCCTTAGAAAGTTATCCCTAGAAAATTGCCTTCAACAATATATACATAACGTATCATTTGACACCGAGCCTTCTGGGAGCACTATCATATGATTCTCTAACAATATATGTAGAGTTATATCTTCTGCAATTATTCACATTGGAGTAGTAAATTAATGATATTTTAGCCAACGCTATTTCGTAATTTCAGCCAGAATTTTAGATGCAATAACTTGGCATCCAAGCTGGCTAGAGCTCCGAACAGGTCGGGTCGGGTCGGGTAATTGACTTGGCCCGACCTGATAAGGTCAGGTCGGGTCAGACATAAAATTGACCTGAATTAAATATACATTTGACCCGACCTGATAAGGTCAGGTCGGGTCAGACATAAAATTGACCTGAATTAAATATACATTTGACCCGACCTGA